TTTAGGAAGATCACTTTGGCAGCTAAGTAGAGGACAGAAGTGTGGTGGAGAAAGACTTGAGGTAGGGAAACCAACCAGAAGACTTCTTCAGTAATTCAGGTGTGAGGTGATGAGGGCCAGGCAGTGCAATGGCTGTGTGAGAAGAGAGAAGGTGACATATGCAAAAGATGTTATGAAGGCAGAGATAAGATTTGGGAACAGATTGGATATGTGGGATGATTGCAAGAAAGAAGATGAAGATAGTATCAAGGCTGCAAGCCTGGGTGACCTGAGAGATAATGGTGCCCTTGACAATAGTAGGAAAATTCAAAAGAAGGGAAGGTTTGGGGAAGGCAGAAGCAGAGATAATGAGTTCTATTTTAGACATATTGAGTTGGAAATGCCTATGGGGACATCTAGTTCAAGATGTCCAAGAGGCAATTGGTGATGTAGGGCTGGAGATCAGAAGAAAAGTCAGGACTGGATAAATAAATTTGAGAAGCATCTACATAGAGATGATAACTGAACCAATAGAAGCTGATGAGATCAAGTGAAATAGTATAGAGAGAAAAGAGAAGACGGCCTAGGTAGAACTTAGGGGGATGCCTACGGTTAAAAAGAATGACCTAGGTGAAGACCCAGCAGAGGAGACAAAGGAAACAGTAAGATGGATAAGAGAAGAACCAGGAGAGAAGTGTCATGAAAACCTGGAAAGAAGAGAGTATCCAGGGGAGGAGAGTGATTGGCAGCATCAGAGGCTGCAGAGAAGGTGGAGAAGGATGAGGAACAAGAAAAGACCATTAGGGTTGACAATTAAGAGATCACTGGTAACTTTGGAGGGAGCAGTTTCAATTGAATGATGAGGTCAAAAAGACTGCAGAGGGTTTAGGAGTGAGAAATGGAGGCACTGAGAGCCTTTCTCAGCACATTGGCCAAGTATGAAAATGTATAGCTTGCCTTGTGTGTCTTGTCCATTGCTTCTCTGCCATGAAGTAGGAGGCATGCTTCCTCCTTGATCTTCAGTAGTCATAACTGGTCATTGCTTTGATCAAAGTTCTAAAATCTTTCAAAATGGTTTTCCATTCTGTTAGGTACTCATTGTGTCTACTCGTCTCACTCTGCATCAGTTCCTACAGGTCTTCCTTCCCAAGCAAGCTTCTCTAAATCTCTTTTCTTATAGTGCAATATTATTCCATTGCGTGCATGTACCACAATTTGTTCAGCTGTTGCCCAATTCATGGGAAACCACCTAGTCTCCAACTCTTTGTCTAATTTGTCTTCCCAGGCTTATGATACGTGACTTCCCTTCGAGCAATGTTTTCCAGTCATGCCAGCCTACTTAATGTTCCTCATATGGGATATTCCATTGGTCACCTTCTTGCATATTCCATGCCTAGAAGGCTTTCCTCTTCACCTATGCTTCTTAGAACCCTTAGCTCCCTTCAAAGCTCAGTTCAAATGCCTTTTCCTTTCCTGAATCACCTGTTATAACCTCCCTGTCCTCAGTCTGGGGAGATTTATTTTGTGTACATTTTATGTTATTGGTGAACCTCTCATATCCCACCCTACCTTCTCCTCCAGTAGAATGTAAGCTCCTCTGTATTGGTACCCTCATTTAGCACAATACCTTAGAATGAGTGTAAATAGCAATTGTTTTCTGTTCTGGCCAGAAATGTGGAGGGCCTTTCCCTCCTAGATTGATATTTTTGTGATGGTAAATTAGGTCAACTCTTACCTAGACCTTCATCATTGTATGGGTGTTGCCTCAGACAAACTGAGGCCTGGGAAAGACCTTAATTTAGAAAGGCCAAGGCCATCCACTGCATCCTGGGTCATCACCAGTGTCTTGACTTTTGTCTTGCCACTGGACTTTGATAAACTCCAGAGGAGAGAGTGAGGCTGACAACTTTGTGCAACTCTGCCTCACTTGAATCTAATTCTCAGGCAAGTCAAGATATCACCCTTGTGATGTCATTGGTCCTCTTTGAGAATGAAGGATGAACAACAACAACCTAGTGAGCACTTAATAAATGTCTGTTGATTGACTAGCTGATCGATTGACTAAAGGTAGAGTTGAAAAGCAAAAACTTCACTCAACCACTCTCATCTGCATGGTGCCAATCATCTGATTGTTTTTCCCAATCAGACTAGTAGTTCGGGTGTTGTGTAGTCACAACCTAGGACTCTTACACTCTGTGTCTGCCCAAGACAATGACCCCCACAAATTATTGCTTAATAAAATTTGTTTGAGATGGTGAAGGGGATGGATATCTCCTAAGGTACTCTGCTCCACATTCCTGCATTTGAGGGTGATATTAGTAACAATAATTCACATTGACATAATTCTATAAGGCTTACAAATCTCTCCTGTTTCAAACTATTTAGAAATAAGAGAGTCCCCACAGAAGGAGGAAAAGTCACCAGTGGAGCATATTTTTGTGAATCACTTTGGGACATGAGAGACCTTGGAAAGCAAAAGAGGCAATACCGCCAATCTTCTTTAAGAGCAGCATACAGGCTCTTAAACAACAGGAAACCCCAGAGAGCAGCACAGAATGGATATCTTTCTCACTCAGCTTCCCTGGATCTAAGAGCCAAGAGTCACCCCATTTCATCCCAGTTTCCCTTGTCTTTCTTCTTGTCACCCTTTCCTCTTTAGGGTACCCTGACATCCAATGTGTCCAGTGTAAAACATCCAAAGAGTTTGAGGAAGCTGGCCATTGCTTAGGATCATAGAATAGCCATTCCATGATAGGAGGCAATATTTCCATGTAACCATGAAAGTCTGTATGTCCCTGTGGTACATTGAAAAGGGTGCTGTATTTGGAGAGGACTCAGAAGTGATTTCTTCCCTCCTGGATTTGGAGCCCAAAAATTTGGGGTTCAAATCAACCCACCTCTGCCACCAGCAATGTGATGCTTGGCAAATAACTTTACCTTTCTGGACCTCAGTTTTTTCATCTGTAGAATGGATTGTAGAATGGATAACCTCTTAATGTCCCTGCCATCTCTAAACCTCTAACCTTCCCATGGAGACTTTGTGAGATCTACTTGCCATTTGAGAAGTAGGGCTCAAAGGGGCTCTCAGGGGACAGCTAGATGGCGCAGTGGATAACGCTCTGGCCTTGGAGTCAGGGGGACTTGAGTTTAAATCTGGCCTCAGACCAAACACTTGACACTAGCTGTGTGACCTTGGGCAAGTCACTTAACCCCAATTGCCTAAAAGAAAAAAAAAGTGAGGGGCTGTCAGTCATGGGATTGTGGATTTAGAGCTGAAAGGGATCTTAGATCTTTTAATTTAGTTCCCTTAATCTGCAAATGAGAGAAGTGAGCCCTGTAGAAGGAAATGACTTGTTTAAGGTTGCCTAGCCAGAAAGCAGAAGGGTCAGGTCCAGAGCCTAGATCGTTTGGTTCCATGTTGAAATTAAAATTCTTCCTTTGGGCTTTCACCCTGATTAACAAGGCAAAACTCAGGACAAAGAGAATTAAAAGGAGTTTATTACAAGTACATCAAGGTAGCAACAAACAGACAGACTGATCACTGGAGATTAGCGATGGCTTCAAGATGGAGCCAGCTTTTATCGGTAACTTTTGTAATAAGATAAAGACAATTCAAAATTTGCAGGTAGGGGTAACAATGTCAGAAGTGAGTGAGTGTTACAAAGAGGAGGTAATGCAGAAAGCTACTGACTCCATGGAGGTGTTCCCTTCCCCAACAGAGCCTCCCCCTACATTGTTTGACTAGCAGGGCTGGGAGCAATGAGTCACTGTGTCAACATAACTTTGAATATCCAGATCCATTGGTTTTTACACCCAGATTGGGAAAGAGGGATGGCTAAGGGGGGAGGGAGGGTGCGGAAGACAAAGATAGAAAAGGGAGGGGAAGAGGAGAGGGAATGAGAGGAAAAAAAAGGGAGGGAAGGAGGGAGGGAGGGAAAGAGGAATTGAGAGAAAGGCAGGGAGGAAGGAAGGGAAGAAGAGATAGAGAAAAAAAGAGATGGGGGAAGGGGATGAGAATGAGTTACCACTCTTCCTACAGAGAGATTAGATTGTGAGCTCCTTGAGAATAGGAACTATTTCGCCACTTTTTGTATCCCTAGCACTAAGTACAGTGCCTGGCACATAGTATGTGCTTAATAAGTGGTCATTGACTGACCATAAGAGCCTGGAGCTATATGGGTATAATGACTAATGTCACCTTTTCTAAGACTACTCCCTTTCTCCCCATCTATCTTCTATTACTTTCTCTTTCCATATTTCATATAACCCCCCTCTGCCTGTTCATTATTAAGTTTAACCCTCTTCTCTCTAACTTTATTTTCATCATTATGGGGATGGGGGTAACGCTTTGGAAAAAGGTTAAAAAAAAGGATCAAAATGTGAAAACTTTTATTTTTAACAAACCCACTCTCTGGCCTTGAAAACATTACAGTTCTATGGCGGCTTTGTGGTATAATTCTAGTTGCTACCACTTTTTTGCACATCTGTCCAAATCTGTGTCTCCAGCTCAGGTTCTAAGCTCCATGTGGGCAGAGGTCGATCTTGGACATCTTCTTTGTCACCAGGTGCCTGCAGCTCATGAGTGTGGTGCAGGAGAGGTCATCTGCTGCATAGTCTCTATTTCTGTAACCACAGACTTCCCATTCCTCCCCCCGCCCCAACCAACACTCTTCTAAAACTTGATGTATGAGATGTGGTGCAGAAGGGAGGACTGAAAGAGAGGGCACAAGGCCCAGGGCAGCCCATGCCCACTCCTAGGGAAACTGCTCCAATTGTGTTTTTCAATAACGGCTAATAAGCATCATCAAATCAAATGAATGCAAACCAAGAGCATACACACACACACACACACACACACACACACACACACACACAC